AAAAAAACAAGCTCAGAACGGGAGTAGGGAAACGGATGCCCAGGCAATTTTTATTTTCCCTGACTTAAAGCAACAGTCCCAGCAGGGTGGGCGTGGTCGGAAACGACTGCAATCCCCTCGGCCGATTCCGACCACGCCCACTTCAGCTCCCTCTAGCGGCTTTCCAAGGTGAGTTTTTGTTCAGTCACACTTCTTACGTTCTTGACTAGGGGCTGAACAGCTCCGAAGTGGGAATCGGCCGAGGGGATTGCAGCCGTTTCCGACCACGCCCACCCTGCTGGGACTGTTGCTTTAAAGAGGTCACGCCCAAGTACAGACATCGCCCCTCAACAAACTATTGTTGTTTATTGGAAATGTGAAAAGTAATACAGGACCTTGGTTGGAAAAGGCCCTGCGTGTGCTAAGAAGTTTAGCCGCGTTTTCAAGCACCTCAAATGCCCCGACAAAGAATAATCCGCACGTGCTTATAGGACTCGATAACGCACCTGTGGGGCAACTGGCCACTGGAACACAGACATTCTTCGAATCGCGGATATAGAGCCGTCTGCATTGACAAACGTTTATGATGCATTGTTTAGTGCACTAAATGCTCAGGTGAGGAAAAGGATTAGTAGAAATATGCTGGGTTAGTATAAAAGCCAAAAACAAAGATGTGCAAAGGCAACGAGGAATAAAGGAGACAACTGAATGTGCAAAACAAACGGTTGGATTAGGTTGTGAGCAAGTTGGTTCGCAAGCGGTGCCACACTGTTTTCGCTCCTCGTTCACACCACAGCCACCTCCTCCTATCAAAGTGAGGCTCTCATATCATATCAAAAAGGGTACCTGCACGAATATTGATAAAAAATGTTGAAGGATAAAGCATTTGCCGTTGATCAATCCTTTTGGGATGCGGCACGCATTCTACTTCCATTTGTACATTCGTAGTGGCGTTTGAATGCGATGTGGCCTATAATGACTTGCGGGGGCCAGCCGATGTACAAGTCAGTGTTTTTATCCTCCCAGACAAGTCTGGTACCAATTAACCGACCCCGGAGGGATGGAAGGCTTGGTTGGCCCGGGCGACTCACGACCCAGGATTTGATCCCCGGACCGCTCGCGTGGTAAGCGTGCCACTTGCCACTACACCACTTCCGCCCACGAATATTGATGCATATTCGTGATATGGGGAGGAAGTGGTGTAGTGGCAAGTTTAAATGGGGATAACATACAATTTTACAATCTGCTCAGAGCTTCTTCGACACCTAATGATGGGTCCCTTATTAGGACTAAGACCGATCGAGACGGCCACGCTCAGAGGACATTGTGTGTACAGGGCACGGATACGCATAATTAATCAGTATAGGCATACGATTTCTCTAAACTCCCACTGATTTTTGAGTTAAATGTGGGCACTTACCAGAGCAGTTAGACACGCAGACATTTTCATCGTTACGATAGAATCCCGATTTACATTGACATCCTCGGACGCATTGTTCAGTACAGATTTCCTGAAGCATATGATTTATCAAGAATGAGCGTAAACAATGCATTTTTCAATTTTAACAAAAGTTTGTGACGTATCCTACCGGCTTGGGATTGCGACATGACGGTTCGCATGCCGTGCCACACTCTTTGAACTCTTCGTTTGCAGGACAGGTCGTATTATTGGGGGCACTTGTGGTTTCTGAAAAACAGGAAAAACCATAATCAAGCCCTTGTTAATCATTTTTAAAGGGTACACAATTTTTAGGATTACACATGGTGGCAATAAAAAGAAAGTGGTAATTCCCAACAGCCCTTGACATGCGCCACGCGTTCTATTTTATGAGAAATCGGTGTGTTTTAAGCGATCTGGTCTACAGAATAACTTGTGGGAGCGAGATAATGCAAAAGGTGATCTGTTTTCTCGAACAGCCTTGCCAAACCTATTCAGCTGCTCTAGAAGGATGGAAGTCTTGGAACTGGGCGGAATACTGTGGAATACCCAATTTATCAAGCGTATATGGTCATCGCACTACGGCGGGCAGGGCTTATTCTGCTCAATTACTGCCGCAGCAGGGTTATTCTTCTAAGGAGGTCGCCTATGCCGAAGGTCTGACGGAGATGTGGGCCTGAAGCGGCAACGCCCTAACCTTGAGACTACAAGCCCATTTGTAGACTGTATCTTCGTGTAGACCTAAACTCTTCCCACGCACACATTACGATGTATTGCGATATGAAGATCCATTTAAAGTTGAAGGATTGGGGGCTGAAAATCCTATCAGGGGGGAGAGCACTCCTCGCTATTTTGTTCTTTGTCTGAGAGAACACTCCTTCGGATGGGATAATATGTAGAGTGAACAACTTATTTAAAGTGCACCTTTGATGAGGACCGGTGGATGTTCCACACTCCAGACCTCCTACTCCCATCCTACTCAATTGTCTACACCGGGTCATCCACCCTGAAGCTCATCTACCATTAGGCAGGAACAAAGCTAACTGTTCTCCTGATTCAGTACTTTCCTTGGAGCATTGCAGGTCCGTGGGAAGCAGTGGGTCCTAGTCCACAGCGGGGGCACTTATTCAAAGTTACACTTCAAAAATGAACAAATACGTGTCCTAGCGTCTTTATTCGTCATTCCTAAGTATGGGGAACGCAATGGGTGGCCCCACAGTTGGTCTGGAACACCAGTGGAGTGGCCCCCAAGTTTTACACAATGACGGTAAGATTCATTGAAGATTTGCCCAACCGTAAGCCATCGACGAACAAGTTAATGATCTGTACCGCAGGATGGGAAGGTTCTCAACTTGTGACGCGGTGCGGTGCGTTCAGAGCCCATTCGCGAAGGAATAAGGAAAAAACTCAAGGATCAACAAAGGTGTTGATGCATGGAAAACAATTCAGTTAGGAACACGCTTTGGTTGTCAGTGTATGTACCAGTCTGATGCATTTGAAAGAATAGTTGTGCAAATGAGAGGGAAACGTGCCATCAGAACACGAAGCCTTTTTCTCTGGAGCAACACAAGCGGCTTCCACCTCACACACATCAGCACATGACGGATCCTTCGGTCGATAGATACAACTGAAAGATGTGCAATTTAAATCATCTGCAGTCTTCCATGGCATGCTGAGGCCGTGCAAATACGAGATATTTTGCCTGACGAGCTACATGCATGATCGCAGACGTGGCTGGAAGGTTTCTGGACACCCTGCTTTATCAGAAGAAATCATGAATCAGATTCGCCCAAAAAACCTAGCGAATTATGTTGGAATAAATAACTCGAATTAAGAACACCGTGTTTTGTTTCTTACGTCTATGGCTAACAAATACTGTGTAGTATTAACTCCTTAGAGCATCTATTACTACAATACATGATAATATCGTGTCTGCGAAGTCTATCCTTTGCGATATGGTGAAAAGCACCATAAAATATGAGGAGTGAATGTGGAGCGAAGATCGACGAAGGCGCAAAAAGTTCATAGAGCTGGACTAAGGACACAGGACTTTTCGTGCCAACGCTTGACATGAGCAGTTTCTTCTGTTACCAGGCCTCACTGGCACATTGTCTTTACCTTAGGGTAGCCTTTATGGCAGGGAGAGCGCTCGTCACTAGGTTCGTAATGGAATAAAATGCTTGCACTTCATTACCATGTGCCATATGGTACATCTATATTATAGCTTTCTATTCATGAAGAGGGTTTGCTAGTGCGAAAAACACTCAAGACGCACAAGAAGGTAAGAGGACCATCGAAAGCACCTTCTTTTCGCCTTCCTCTTTTCTATAAAATGGTTATTATTCACTTTGCTGGCTTAGATAAATCCTTTTTTTGCCAAGCTCTTTACTTCCATTCCAAGTCGTAGCATTTGAATACAATCTGGCTTACAGAAGGACTTCCAGGACACCTTTAGGTATTGCTCCTCTACTTATGGTACCAGCTTTCTTGTCCTGGAAGGAAAGGAGGCTCATTTAGCGCGAACGGAATTCAATGACGGATTTGGATACAGACGAAGTGAGCAAGTGGGACCAACAGGCTCCGTTATGACTCATCCCCCTCGATTTCTAATATTCAAAAGACAACTTTATACTACCTAGAAACCCCTTCCAAATTAATGGTTCGAAGTTAATCGCCCATATCTAATTCTCGAACTTAAATTAAAATTGAGACCTTCGACATTGGAAGTTTGATTTCTGCCTCAAAGTTGTTTATTGCTTCATTTCCTAACGATGACAACATCAAACGATGAATCTTAACCCTTCCTTCTTCGATCATGCATCTAGTCTGCCTAGTGGAATTATAGAAAGGTGTTCAGCTCACGTGCTTGGTGGACTACAAAGCAAAACAGAACAGTCAGGATTCGGCTTCCGGAGGTCATTCCTGTCGGGATCTAAAATGAGAGAACGAAGGAGTTTTGTGAAAAGTAAGAGGAAAAGTAAAGGCACAAAACCTAAAACAACAACAAAAAATGAAAAAGATAAAGACATGCAGCTGAGAGAGGTTAAGCGCGGTGTTAGGGAAACGGACAATGGGCGAAGTTAGTACTGGTTTTTGAAGCGACGAAGCCCTTCTCCTTCCCTACAA